GATGTTAAAACAAACTAAAGAAAAGACAGTTTCACAACATAGTAGTTAAAACTTGGTGTTAAAACAAACTAAAGAAAAGACAGTTTCACAACATAGTAGTTAAAACTTGGTGTTGCAACAAACTAAAGAAAAGACAGTTTCACAACAACCCAGCCAGTGCAACAGTTGTATCATGGATCAACAAAAACATACCATTTAATGAACAACCAACCAAAAGAAACAGTTTAATGTTAGGCCAATTAATAATGTAATTTCCAAATAAATTGATTAACTTAAAAGTTGCAAGAAAGATCCATAAAAAGAACAGTTGAATGAGATACCAGTCAAGAGAAAGTTTTGTGACAGACCATTTAAAATGTAGTGTCATAGCAAAACCAAACAAGGCAAATTCTCATAACAGATAGTTACTGATAGTTTTCCAGTAACATGCCAACGTAAAGGCCGATCATGTATATATTTTCTTAATTCACTAATTAGGATAATGCTTCAAATCAGACCACAACTCAAAATAATTTTGTATTAATATCTTTTATATGAAGGTGAAAGAAAATGAATCAATCAGTTTTAGAATGTACTAGAATGTGTAAATTATATATAGTTTCACTGCTAAGTTTTGTGTGACTTTTTAGATAATTTGGATGTCAATTTAGAAATCATTATGTTATTATAAAGTTTTTGTGGTCCTGAAAATCAATATCTTTAACATAACTAAGAACTATCGTAGAATATAATTGATACTTCAAACCATTGGTATTTGGTGAAACTCCATAATTACAGAATTGTCTGGTTTTTCCTCGATTCTGTTATCGTAGAGTATTTTGTGGAGATAACTACTGATAGTTTTGTTCTGAGTAATATTTAACTCTTGTGCAAAGAGATAGAAGAGCATAATTTAAATATTTGTTTAAACAGGTAAAGAATGGTGAGAAAAGATGGTACGCACTAAAGGACAAAAAATTGAAAGGTCGTGCCAAAGGTCAAGTTCTGTTAGAGCTGGATATTATATATAATCCTGTAAGTTTGTAAACTACTTTTTATGTCACATTTTATTAAAAGTTTCATGTTTTATACTTTCCTCATATTTTGAGTGGTTTATTGTTGTAGAAAAATCAAATTAGAGATGAGTTTATTAACAATTCAGGGCCAATTACTAATTCATTTAACACTGCTAGCATTAGATAACTTGGTTCGCATTAATGCCTCGTTCTTTCCAGAAAGATTATATAATCATGTACTCACTTCATACAGTTTGTTTGTATTTAGATACGCTAGTATGTATTAGGTGAGTTTATTGAGGAAATAGGCTTGTAGATCATGCAATTTTCATGTTTTTATTTTCCATCTTGTAATTTTTTCAAACAAAATAATTCACAATGTAGAACACTTTATTGAAACTGCTTCAACAGTCAACACCCAAATTTCCTCTCCCACCAGTTCATTTGTTTAATAATATTATCTATTAATCTTTATTTGGGTCAATTAAACTGGTTACTGATACACCTTAATCTGGTCATTTCAGGACATAAGTTGAATCATCATAAAAACTCAGTATCGCATTGTCATGATTATACTTTTAGTATGTACGTTTAAATTTAATTTCTTAATTAGCATGATCTTGTGTTTCTAATGATTTTAGCTCTTAGACTATAACTCATCAAACAGTTGTAAGTTAGTATACTCAGGTTTGTGACTGTGGTGTTGATAACCTGAGTATATTAACTTAGAACTATTTGACATATAGTCTAAGAACCAACTGGAAATTTTACACATGAGTGTATTTGGCAGGAATTAAAATTGTCAGTGACACATTAGTTAAAGCTTTTAATGAAGGTTCACATACAAAAGTCTACTAGGAAATAGAAGATTTGGATGTAGCCTACGTAAATATTTTTGTAATGTTTCTTAGAAACGTTCACAGTTATTATATTTTTATGATACTTGTTTACCAAACTCAAATGACTTTTTCTGTTACTTTGAGAGAGAATGTCTGTTCCTTCAGTAACAATTACATTTGGAAACCAAATTTCTTTTTATCCCTTTAGGTATGAAATCAGTTCTCTTTGTTGTCAGCTTTAGGTCTTGTCTCACATTAACAGTATTTCTTAAAGTATCTTTACGACTGATTAAGAGAAAAATAAAACACATTTATTTTGAAAAAATCTCATTGAAAAACTCGTGTTACTTTAGTTGTTTTATATAAACCTATTAATTTGTAGTTTTTCATTAACGTGTTCTACAGCTTGTTCTTTCATTAATATTTGCTCGGCTTTTTAACGGAATAATTTTTTTCAATAGTTTCTGTTTATTATAAATATTAGAATTA